CAACCAGTGTACGACAAGTACGCGGCTCTTACAGCTGACAATGATGATGATGATGACCAAGCCCAAGATTATCTGGGATGAGGTGCCACCGTGATTGCTAGCCGGTATGAATTTTTGGGCACCAGTTGAAACTTGCTGATTTCGACAATATCCAGTGTTCTTTTGTACCGAATCGGATGGCCTAGACAGAGCCCTGAAATCGCAGAGTATAGTTTCCTTTGTCTTTACATTCATACTTTAACCAATTTTTATGATCAGTGTGACGGCGCGGTCCCATTAGCTTTCCAGCTAGAGTACCTTGTTGTTTTTGAACTGAAACCCGTTGAAGTTGGACGGGACTGTTCTGCCTCAGTCTGTGTAATCCTGCAGAAGAATGAATGGATAACCGGGCCTGAACAACAGCACGACTGGAATCAAGTTGCGAAGCCTAAAAACGGGATGAACTTTAACTAAAGCCCTCCACCGATAACTGATGGCCACGTAACGACTTGTTGTTGGTGCCCCCTAAGTAATTCGATGTGAGCCCTGGTGCTGTAAGTTCATACTGGGTGGGAACAGATGATGTTTAGCAGACAACTCTATATCATCCGCACGATTGGCACCGACTCCGAAGATAACAGGAACCCGTGCTTTTTAAGGGCTAAGCTTGAACGTTCACACCGCTTACCAGGAAGACAATAGCCGTCCTTACTGCAAACCGAAGGTAATCGTGACGGATCTCGGTAAAACCCATTTTTCTCAGTCAGGGCCCATGCTGAGAAGACTTCCAGTTTTGAAGTCGAGTTCAACTCCCACATCATGGAAAACACGAATCACCATAGCAGGATCACCGAAGGGAAGTGCTCAGTCTGAGCAGCGACACGGCTAGTAATTATGCTGGCTCAGGAAAGTAGTTTCTGACTGTAAGACTGTATCTTCTATTCCAAATCCAATAAACATTACTAGCTGAGTTAAAATTTACAGGTCGTCCGGCAGCGAGGACGTAAGTACAGTGAGGCGCTTCGGCAACGATTAAAATCCCGTTCAGGTAAGAGAATGGAAGAATGAGCCCGGTGTTCGGACAAAGAGCACTGGCTTCAACAATTTCCTGTGGCTATGAGGAAAATAGCTTATTGTTCCCGTTTTAGAAACTGCGATTTTTACATCAGAAAGAGAACATGAACGGCCTGCTATTAATAGACTGCAAGTTCCCAACTGAGAGCTTCCCTGACAGCCCATCTTAAACGAGCCATCGCTTCAACAAACCGGCAAGATACGATCGCATACCTTAGTGTTAACCATCAAGATCCCACAGCAAAAGTCACATTTACGTGAATGAAGTTATGGGATGACTCCTTTAACTCCCTGCTGAATCCATTACCAACTCGCTGAGTGACGTCATGGCTGAGATGTAGTGTATGCTCGGTTCAATCCAAATGATTTTGAGTGTGACGACTGATACTGCGTCTATGAAGTCAATTTCAATATATGTGACCATCCACGTACCGTCGCCAACACTAAGTGATTGTCGTCGTTAAAATGATTCGATTTTGCTCAGTAACTGATGTCGAAATCCCAAACATATAAACGTGATCGGATACCAGAACCGTGGAGACAGATTTTAATGAAACAAACCGTGCTGACATACGGATCCACAGTGCAGTTGAAGAATTAAATAATCGCTGCTTAGTTTTGGCTCCCATTCGGTGCACAGCTGGCAACTGGAAAGGGGCCACCACCTGTTTCAATAAACAAAAGCTTTTTCAAGTTCAGAGTAGATGTCTGTCGACCCGTTCATCATTACCATTGGCAGCTGTAATAACCGCGTACTCGTCGTACAGTGGTTGTAGCTGCCGCAGTTTCGTTCAGGGAGATTTAGATTTACCTTGGTAGTATTCCGTAGACGACTGCAGTCTTGCCGTTGGAGAATTCGATTCGGGTTATAATCGCTCCTGTTCAGGCAATTTCCGAGTTAAATGAAAGTTTTGTCAGCAAAAACAGTCATAGGACAGCGGTTGCCACCTGGTCGATTGGACCCATGCATTCCATCTGGTTCACGCAGTGGCACGTGCAATCGGAAGTATGCTTACCTTCAGTCTCAATCAGCACCTGACTAGAGTTAAGCAACAGTGACTTGTTCAATCGTGTGCAATAAATTCATGTAACTGCAATAATTTAGCTGAGTGAATCGAAGATGAGTTAAAAGAAAGAATAAGCTATATGATCCCTCGCCAGATAAGAATATAGAGATAATAGAGTTCAGCTGTTTGGCCTTTTCGGTGCGTAGCTGCCATGTCACCCGAAGAAAGGATGAGGGCTCCGATACTGTCAAGATACCAGGTCCTAGAGAGCAATTGAGATGCCGGGGTTTCGTTCAAACTACGGTGCTTCCGGCCAGTAAGCTCGCGCCTTTAACGCTGGACTACCTTACCAGATACGACAATCATCAATGCGCGTAGCTACCCGGATGGGGACCCCGAGATAGGTCATATCAATGGTTACAGACATTGTCAAACATGACCCAGTCGCGCCCTCATGTATCCAAGCTATTACCTTCAATGCATAGTTCCCTTTTCAATCCCCCCAATTAACAGTCCTACAGTGCTGTATTTACGCACTAATTTATCAGCTTCCGCCTCTAATACGCAGCTACCTACCCCACCTTCCCGAATCATCGGTGCACGAAAATGTGGCAGCCACAACCACTGTACGACAAGTACGCGGTTACTACAGATGACAATGATGATGACTATTCATTCCCAAAGAATAAACAAGGGCGCAAGTATGAAGCGAAAGTATCCTCTGTCCAGCCAACCTATAACCCGATCAACTCGAAACGGAGTCGTAGACACGAAAGACTGGTTTATACACGAAACAAAGCAAAAAGAATCAGCGGACTCACTTTCAGTATATCCTCCAAAGTGTTGGGCCAAAAATCACCCTCGAAGTAAGGTATTTCAGTTGGTGAGACAAGCTGATGATCCAAAGCATCTTTGAGGATGTTTTTGTAATCCACAACTATTCCTTCTATGATGGCTTTCTGAAGCATTCGTCGATACCATTCTTGGAGACGCTTTGCTTTGGGGATCTTTTGTTCTGCTGGGTGCATGTGGAATATATAATCATCTCCTTCTCCTGGAGGACAGGCCCATATGTGAGCCATTGTGTAGCCACACCGCTTGGCGTACAGCAAGTAACCCACTAATATCTCGTGGTAGACATCCGTTCGGTACTGTTTGGGTCGAAAGAAAAATACTGAATCTAGGTATGCTACGTACACTCTTCGCCGATTAGGCTGAGGACTTTCAGATCCGTATTCCTGGACGTAAAGACCAAAGAAGCAAACATCCTGTCCGTCAATCTCTTGAAAGGCGAAAATCGCCTTCAGGCGGTATGGAAACGACTCCGATAGCTCGCCACTCTCTGTAAATCTGGCTCTCATGAGTGGTTTGACCTCTGCCACCTTATCTGAACTGGCCAATACCCGGATAGTGACCTCTCCTGTTCCCACTTCCTTCTTCTTCAGAAAATCATTTACCCGCTTCTCCAGGAATGCGCTCAGCCGGGTAACAGGAAGCTTTTTTGCAGTAAAACGGTTTTCCTTGCGTTTGAGACCACGCTCTCGCAAACAACCAGGACAAACAAACCCGGCAGGCCAAATCTCACCCATATGCAGAGCGCAGACCTTATGCCACCGGCGGCCGCACTCCTTGCAAGTGACGAGTTCTTCCTTCTCCTTAACATTGTTCTTCTTCCGCTCGAACTGCTCTTTGGGTATCGACCTAAGAAAATTAACATAGACTAAGACAGCAACTTACACAGATTGATTTGGCTCATCAGCTAAGATGACGACATCACCTGCCTCGTCAAAGCATTTTTCACATTGATAGTACTTGTCACAAACAAGACCCGTCGACTGCTTGTCACTAAAGAGACCGTGATGGAAGTGTAAAGAGACGTACTTATTAAAGTATACAAAGTAAGTTGCATCTCGGTTAATCGCACACAAATTTGCGGACGCACAGTATAGACCTTGTGGCTGATACTCATAGTCTTGTCCACAGCAGAAACCCATTCCTTGCATTACTTGATCAATTCGACTCTGAAAGAGTTCCGCGAGCTACAGGAGGTACATAAGTAAGTTATCTAACTGACATACCTTTGTGCACATTTTATAAACCTTGGAGTTCTTTTTATTGTATAACCAAGCATTATTGAACATGAGACGGAAATGTTCCACGACTTCCCAAGGGTCCTTGTAGTTTCCGTCCTCCAAGTTGTTTCGGATAGTTGTCAGGTCCATGGGCTCCTTGATCACCTCAAAATAATCAGGGATATGTAGCATCACCGGGTCGACAGGAGCACGGAAAGGTTCGGCAAACTTGTCATTGTAAACCTCCTCAAGTAACTGTAGAAAACTACGAAGCAGTTCCTCTCTGGACCACCGTTTCCAGTTAGTCTCATCAGCTTTAACATTGAGCGACAACCCGGAAGCAGAGGATGTCAGGGTGGGAACGACGGGAAACGAGTCACCGCTAGTGGACGTTTCAACTACCGGTGGTTCCGTGTTTTTAGTTTCCACAGTTATACTCTCCTGCTTGATGGGAGAAGGATCAGAAACAGTGGGTGTCGGGACGACACAAGCAGTTTTAAAGTCCTCAGCAGATGGCTTTAACTGGATTGTAAGAGGGGCTGTGGTTGAAGAGGTGGAGGAAGAGGCATTCGATAAGGGCTCTGAAATAGTTGATGGGCCTGCTTCGGATTTATATCGACCTCTGTTATAGGCATTTTGAAGGTACTGCTCGAATCGAGACATGTCGTTCTCGGAGCCATTTGAATCTTGGGAGGTGAAAGACCCGAATTCGAACCCGTCTGAAGGGATGCTGGTAGATGTGCCGTTAGTTACGGTGCAAGCTACTCTGCTTGCAGCAGAAGTAACCGAGGGAGTCGGAGTTGTGGCGAGAGCTAACTGATTAGACAAAGCGGATAAACTCTGGTTGAAATTTGACGTCCCAGAGGGACTTGTGGTGGTGACGGCTGACTTTGAACTCACTGCCGTTACGTCAGAATTAGACTGTCGGCTTTTTCGCTTCTCCTCCAGTTCTCGGTGGATTTTGTAACACCTCTCGGCTAGAAGGCGAAAGTAGTGATCCATTGTGGTTGCCGTGCTATACATCTCTCGTTCGACTTTCCGCGCATATTCGATGAGATTGCGCATACGCGGGTCATTGTAAGCAGCGGGATCAGGAAACGGGAAAATGAACCGCACGCTAGCAGCGGAAAAAAAGAAGAGGAGATTAAGATAAACAGGGTGTTCTCACACAAACAATAAACATTAAATTCTCAAGACGTTTGTCGAGAGCTTGCACAAATGCCAAGTAATCACTTCAAAACAGTACTTCAAAACAGTAACACCAAATTGGTGAGGACATTTGAGAAGCACAGATTACGCGCAGTAGAAAAGTGCCACTATCAACAGAACGCTACTTAAGTTATTGAAAAAAATCGAGGTCAGATGAGGCTCGTCATTAGGTTAGATACCTATATATGGATCTGAAATGAAGACTCGCCACTGAGTGGGTGGGTTATTACGAGTTTACGGAGTGGAAGACAACCTGTGTAATATAAACAATGATCGTTCAGCTATAGCACTCACGGTGCGTAGCTGCAAATACGCAGATACGTAGCTGAGATACCAAAGCCTAGACGGGAGCAGTCTATATACAGAGGCTGGATTCGAACTACAGCCCTTCTGGTCGTTAAGCTGGCACTTTAACCGCTGATCTACCACGAGCTCAGACCTTTTTGTGAAAACCACCGAGGCAGCTAAATCCCCTAGGTGTGATTAGAAACCCTACAGACCATGGTAAGTTGGCGGTCTTAATCACGAACACGCCGGCATGCCCTAGTTTGACCGTCTAACTACGGTTTGTCGTTGTACAGTAGGACTATGTCAGGCGAGGTAAGCCAAGGACGCTGCATCAATCCCATTCAGGGCGTCTTATTTCGATATTATGCTCATATGCGCTAACCTTAATAATGCTTTAAAGTGTAAGTGTACCTCGTTCTGGATCGTTTCTCTAGAAAGAAGGTCGTTCGTAGTGAGTTACCCGCTCTACTTTTTTATCCTCTTTACTACAAGGTAACATCGAGATATCCCACCTAGCAAAAATCACATTCGGAACGTTCATGTGCGCCATTCTGCTATATGCGTTCATTTCATACACAGAACAAAATATAAGTCGCACTGGAGCACAAGTGCCCGCGGGACATCACCATGTTGTGGGACTAATATGGTGTCAGGGATTGCATGAAGACGTACGACAATCCTGTCATCGTCGCTCAACTTTGACGTAATATCGACCATGCTGGTTGGGGCATGAGCGAAGAATATCACAGCAGTCTCACTGAACTCTGTTAGTGAGTAGAGACGACTACGTGAAACTGAAACAAGGCGCATGAGAGCGGTCAATTCCTGGCATGCCCCTGCTGCTTTGCCTGCACTGAAACCCGGAGATAGTGGATATGTGCACCATGAAAGCATTCCGAAATGGCGCGGGATGGCAACCACCACTAGTGATTTTTTTCCTTTTCAGTTCATGTAATGAAGCATACAAGTCTCTCACGTTGCACCGGATTTTCGTTACCATAAATTGAACTACGAATATACGTCCGATAGTCCCCGAACACTCTGCACCCAGCAGATTTTCATGGCATTCTCTACGACCTCGTCCAAGTAATTCAACTCTCAAAAAGGACGAATGAAAGTATGGTTTCGGAAACCACCAACCCAAGTTAATCTACACGGTCTTGATCTTAAAACCAGAGAAACTAGTCTTGCTTTGTAATGAACTTCACAATGGAGTGAATAACCTAAAGCTTAACTTGCATCCTCTCAACTACTTCGATTCTGATCATGGTTTTTCGTAGCACGTTCATGTGCCGATTGTTGGTCTGAATTATGGAGATATCACAACCATGGACACCGTTATACCAGTGGTACCTAATGGTTTTCAGATACCATACAACTACGAAAGAACGCCACAGTAAAGAGGGGGAACGAGTGGAAGGGTGAAAACAGTGGAAAATCAACATACCCCCGGGCAAAATCATTAGGGTATCCTAGTTTCCGTCTCGTCATATCATCCAGGTTATTTCAGTGCCTAGCTGCCATACCAGCTGAAAGAAGCACTATGGCTAGGAGCACCAAGAAAGAGTAAGACGCCACAATCGAAAATGACCAGTATTCCCTTGCGAACGTTACCCGATAAGCGGTAACCACACGACTTTAACTAGAAAGTGATCACCGCTACCACAATAATCACATGCGCCATGACTGGAAACAGTTCCGTTTGACTATGGTACAATCATTTCATGATCTTCCTCCGGACAGGTTTGGAAGAGAATATTTTTTTGGCAGGTGGTGCTTTAGTCTAATCACATTAACCTGCTAACGTTTTGTTAGCAGCCCTAGCCATTTTACCTCGTAATTAAATACCTACTAATTTGGAATTAATTTTACCTTCGCCGGTCCATTGGGACTTCTGCAAATAACAAAATATATGAACCTGGCCACACATGAGCTCAGCATGCAAAACCGGGCTAGATGGTTCTAGTGCATTCGGTTAAGTTCTATGTTCTGTAGGGTTTCTAACCATGTTCAACAAGCATCACGTGAACCCGAACCAAGAGGGTAGGATTCCACAACACACGGTTTGAGTTTCCTGTCCACATTTCGTGTTGTCAAGTCACGTCTCATGGAGTTTGTCGTTAACACGAGTTCGAGCTCGAAGACACTGGTATGCTTAACCTGACGAGTTCTACCCATTACCCATTCCGATTCACCACCTACGCAGTGTCCTATTATGAACAAGGTGCAGCGACCGTCTGAGAAAGCTTCGACGATCGCCTGTTTGAGGTTGTCTAAGATCATCTGGTCGCCGGGAGGGGGGCAGGTTGCGCAACCATGGAGTAGGGTTGTTCTCACGATTGTCTTATAAGCACGGCTATTCAACCCGAGTGAAATTAGTTTACCGCATCGTAAGTTCGCAGATGCTGCTCCGAATTTGCTAGAGCAGGCATTAGCCTCTTCTATCGCGGTACAGACACTGTTTGTAAAGCTGTCCAGGTCAGTAAGCCAGCAAAAATCCAATTTCTCCCAGAATATCTAGAGGGATATAACTGAGGATTCTGAAGCAATATTTGCAATTTGGAGGCCCAACCCGTATAACCAAGACCACGCCAAAACCTACCACTTTCTCTCGATGTATTTCACACAACAGACCTTCGATGCTTTGAAATGTTCCTTCCATAGTCATATCGATGGCAGAATTGAACAGAGGGGGTGGTAATCTGTCCGAAAAATTCCTGGACGGTCTACTGTTATCACCTACACAACCAGGAATGTTGAGACAGAGACTACGAGGCATATTCACAAACAGCAAGGGTATTCCTCTTTGAACAAACGTATGTAGAAGAACCAACCTATCTACGGAATCAAGGACTCTTATGAAGTCGAGGAAAACCGCGATTCAATGGCTGGTTGCCCTGGACCGGTGGTATATACGGCGTTGCTCATATGAAAATCAGCTTAAGGTGTGGTCGAGGTTTACTAGATCATCTTCACAGTTGGTTGTCGAAATACTGCGAACGTGATAATTCAATCAGTTGCAAGTTCATGAGTTGGAGGGAGTGTCCGGTAAGTGTTGTGAGAAAAGGGGCTCAGCGTCATAATATCCAGTTGATAGGGTTTTGGTCTCAAAAAAAACTAATATCCAGTGATAGGGTTTTGGTCTCAAAAAAAACTCCTTGTTAGAGTCAGTAAGGAGTCCAGAATTCACAAAAAGGAATATTACCTATCCAAAGAACAAAGTGCTCATGCATGTGAAGTATTACCTATTGAGAGCTTTCGCCGTAGACATACATATACCCAGCAGCAGTCAGTTTGAGTCCCACGTCATCCTTATTTGGTAAGACAAAATACGCTAGGTGGATGTGGTCCTCTAGACATTGAGTCGGGGGAGGGAGACATTTCTGAAAACTTTCGAGCGGCGTTGAATGATGTTACCTAAAAAAATCTATTGGCGTGCGCCAGATGAAATTCGCACTCTGCCCAAAAACTTCCAAGGGTCTTACTTCGAATATGCCCAGATGAACGCAAGAGCAGTCAGCTTCATCCACCCCCAATTCTCCACAGAAATCATCAAAGCCTTAAGAGGCTATGAATTGTGATAACGTTTCAATGCCAACACACGTTTAATGTGGTATATTCAGTGGCTCGTCCACCGCCTTACGTGTGCTTCGGATGAATTAAGACCCACAACGCTGATGTCAGCAGACAACATAACACTAAGTCGCTCCTATTCTTGAGATGGCCGAGTATATTTAGGTGATGTACGTAGAAGAATGAAAAGCTAATCAAATCATGCCGATATTCGTCCTTATAAGTGGTAACTGTGTCCACAGAAGCGAACAAATGTACCTGAAAGGACTGAACATCTGAAATTAGTTCCCACGCTGCCTTCCTACCAGCCGCAGCTGTCACTCGGAGGGAGTGTAACAGGTCCCTATAACGGAGCCCTATTCGGCTCGACATCCCTATACCAACCGAGTACCGACAGCTTGAGTCAAGCCTTAGCAAGCAGCCACCTTCCTCGTTTCCGATAAGTGCTCAGTGCCCATCCTATTCTTTTGCGCGTGGAATGGCGACATCATGAAACAAATGTCTAGGTGGTTGTTGCAATGGAGATAATTCGACTGAAATCAAAGAGGAGCAGCCGCAAGTGTTGGCCAAGAAAATATTCGATAACTACAACTCCTACTCCATGGGTGGTCTCGCGAAAAGAAGCGGGCCGGTCGGTTGGTACATCAAGCAGTTTACGGGTAGGTAGCCATAGATATTCGCATGCCAGTCTAGACGGGACACATTGGCAAACAAATCAAAAATACTGGCGAATGAGGACAGGCCTCCCTGGCCACCCCAGATAGTGCTCAATTCGACTAACCGACCACAGACGCGAAGCTGAGGGAAGCTACGGAAGTCCGGGGTTTGCGATCTACACACCGTGACTGGTACACGAGAAAACAATGACGGTGGACAGCGCGTTAAGCCTGGAGATTATACGTCTCACTACAACTAGGGAAACTATGAACACCAGTTGCAACGTTCTTGAGCATGAAGGGCGAGTTCGCATCCATAAGGTGCATAGCAACTGGTGAGATTGATCTTACCCTTCACTACCATTGAAGTTGCATTGATGAGTTCGTTGCTAATCGAGACTGAAACCTTCGATACCACGGATCGAGGTATTGACCTCTTGTGAGTTTACTGGATTCGCATCACTCAGACGACGTTGTCTGACAAGTGCTTGTCCGCGCAAAGTACTCTAAACGGGACAATGGAAGTGATCCCAAACTTTCGCACTGCTCCTCCGAAGTGGTCTTAGATAAGGATTTCCAAGTCCCTGGTCTCAAGTTAAAGACGCTTTACTTCGACATGCTTAGACAAGTTTACCTTAAAGTTAACCAAAGATGCTGGCACCTTGTCCTTGAGCGTCTTCCCAAAAGACACGGCTCTTTCGCACCTGGTCCCTACCGTCCGCTTTCCTTCACTCTTCAAGGGCTTCTACCCGTAATGAATTTACGGGAGTTAGGCACGTTATCAACAAGACTAGACTGGTGAGCTTGAATCACGTGCGCTACGCGATGTCCCAAAGACGTAGAACTTCACAGCAGTAAATCCCTATGTTTTCATTACATCAGTAGTTGGGGTCATGAGCCCCTTGTTAGATGAACGTTCCGTTCGTCCTGAATATGACCGTAAACAGTAGAGATCTTCCCAACCACAAGGAGCACATCTTGTCCGGTCCTAGGGCAGGAATATGATAGAACCCGTTCCCATATTTTAACTGACCGGAATGTCCGTGATTCGAACCCGACCTCTGTCTCTCGGCTTCATCTGGCAGTATTCCTCCCTCTTGTTTCCTACGGGTGGCATGGCAGCTAGGCACAGAAAGGGCATCATAGCTCAACTATTATCTTCACTATCTCTTTTCACCCATCCAAATAACCGGCGCATTGTAGTTTATACGCTTACAAGGCACGTGTCCAAAGTACCGAAAACCGAACTGAAACCCGGACAGTGGGAATGTTGACAGCAAGATGCAAGTGGCAGTAAAAGTAAAACTAGAGGCAGAACAAGAAGAACCACGAACTTACATCCGTCTGACCACATGGTTGCGCTTGGGCATATTCACTTCCTTTCGCCAACCAGTTTGGTCAATCGAGGTGCGGTTGACGATTGCAGGGCCGCTCACTCCGTTGACATTTGACGGGTCCAAACTTGTAGCTGTTCCCGCGGGGACGGCTGTTCGCAGACCAGTCGTAGCGACTGCGGAGTTCCCTGCGGTCGTGGGGCGCATAATGGGCGCCGCCTGGGTGAAGGACTGGCCAGATGAAATGGTGTTTGGATCAACGCCATTGACCTCCGGAGTTCGAACTGCCGCTTGTGTGGCCGCAACTTGAGACTGCTGTTGACGTACAATTTGGTTTTGTTGATAGTGCTGGCTTTGCCGTAGGGGCTCACACACTGGACATTCACGGTTACTGCAGTTTTTCCAGTGTGAGACTATCTGACGCGAAGAAGCACAATGGGGTTTCTGACAATCCTTGCCTTCATTGCATGTCGCCATGTGTTGTAGCACGTCACGCATAGTTTTGCAGTGTGGTTGGTTGCACTGATTCCCACGGTCTCCATCTTGGGCTTTACAACGCCGCGCATGAAGCAGCAGGATCAACTGGTGTTGGATAAGCCGGCGCTTTTCAGGATCAGTGGCAACGGCTGAGGGATTGTTGTTAGTACCACTGTAGGTGGAGGCCCCCGGATGCCCAGATGGAGCAGTTCCTGTAAAGCGAACAGCTGTCGAAGACACAGAAACGGTCGACCCCAAAGCCTGAGCATTTTGTGTCGAACCTGTTGATCGAGAATACTCCGGGACGGCGCTTACTTGAGAAGTATAAGCACTTCGGGAGAGCAGGCTCTCTAACATATCAGGCTGACTGGACGTCGCGTTGCCATGGACATGGGTCATCTGTCCCTTGCCGTAACCGCCATGGGTAATTCCAGCGGTGTGCGAGTTGCTATCTACATACGACCCGTGCGTAGTCAAGACGGACGTGGCGGAGCCTGACACACAAGGTGCTCTAGGATCTGGGGGACCCAAGTGCGTATTTGAACCAGGTGCCACTTGAGCTAAGCAAACGTTCGAACCCGCAGGCAGTTTGTTTGGCGAGTATGAAACTTGTTGGAGCGTGTATAGTTCCTCAGAATTCGTATATCCCGAACTGATTAGTCCTACAGTCGTCGAGTGTCGCAATTGGGAACTCTGAAGATTAATAGTTCCATGGGCCTGATTCGACTGTGTCTCTTGAGCCATCAATTGCACTCTGAAATTCAAAATAGTTCCACATGATCAATTTAAAAGCAATGGTGCGATAGTAAGGCGAGAAAATTTAGAGAGCGCGGAAACGAGGCTGCAAACACCCAAAAAGTGCAAAAAACGTGGAGCTTCGAACCGAACATTCAAGAACTGAAAAAAAACTTATGGATGAAAAGCCTGAGGTCGGGGTGATTCCTCTAACTGAACTAAAGTCACCAATGAAACGTACGTTCGTATAAAGCCGCATTTAAGCGACGAAATGAGCGGCCGAAATCAACGTAAGACCAGGAAATCTGTGAACAATATGGCGTTCGCGCACTATGGCCATCCAGTGAGCCGATTGGCTCAGGACCCCAAGTAGGTCGACAGAGAGATATAAGTAGGTAATTTAAACAAAAGACGTCGTTTCATAAGTTTTAGTCTAGGATACTGTAGTGAGACAAAACTAGTGGTTAAAGATAGGATGTCATGAAACTACGTTGATGAGTGAATAAAAATCCAGAACGGATGACAAAGCTAGATTGTAAGAACCAAATAGTTACAGTGACTAAAAATGTATGTTTCTGTTGGGTCGTAGTAGCGTTTCCTTGATCAACGTTTACCAATGGGGCGTAAACAGAGTGAGTGAGCGGCGCTGCTAGAGCCTTAGCTTGTTCCGCTTGGACTATAATTTGCAGTAGGGAGTTAGTCTTTTCTTTCCTTTTTTCAGCCTACATTTTGTTTCAATTTTTCTTGAATTGTGTCGCATAGATGATGCCGAACGAAGTGAAAACGGTAGAAGTCACCCCATGTTTTTGATTTCGAAGGGCGAAGATTCTTTAAGAGTTGGTGCCGTACACCACACTAGTTGAAAGTTCGGTGAAGATTTTTTTCCGTTGGCCATGCGACCGGAAGTGAGGCTGCCGCCATTTTGATTATATTGATCTTTTAAAAACGAAAGTTTCGTGCAGGAGTGTGGGGGAGAAGGTTTGGTGAGCCCGACGTGACTCGAACACGCAAGGATGAAATGATTTACTTTCACATCATCCTTTTAGTGGGTCTAAAAGGAAAAATAAAGCGCCGAATATCACTGAAGCGGGCGATCGCCTGACATAGCCGCTGTGATCTAAATCTCCGGCCACCTTAATTTCTAAACACCTAGCGATTAACATGGTATGCTAAACAGAATTTTGATTCTCCAAACATCACCAGGACCATTTTTGAATTTCATAAATTTTTGACGCTGGTCGCAAGCTCTCTTTGTAAGGTGTTCACATCTACTGGGGGCTCTCAAACCAACTCTCATTCACAAAGTTGCGACGTGGCCGCTTCAGACATCTCATAGAATCCTTTGGAAACATTAGGTGAAAAAACAGCCCCTTTTGGGATCCTTTTACCGTTTTTCAACCTCCCAGTTTACTCCTTCCAGAGATGCCTGTGGGGCGGATAACAAACCGTTGCACATTTTTTAAACAATGGGTGACAGTTTAGTGAATCGAGATAACATACCTCAACTCTTGAAATATCCTCTATATAGAAAAGCCTCATTCTAAGAACCTGCCCAATTACGTGTGATTTCCTTTAAATGCAGGCATGGTGGATGGCTGAAAGAACACCATACATTGAGATAATTTATCGCTTTATTGCACATCGCGCGCACTCATGTTTTCAGAAATAAGGACAGCAAGCCAAACGTTTTGTGGTTTGCCAATTTTCTTGTCCATTTATTTGTAACGGTAGCAGCCTTTCAAGTTGGAATAAGTTAGGCCCTCGGAAACGTTCCGTGATATCTTATAATCATTTTCGTGAGGATAAATGGCTGATTTACCCTCAAGTGAGCGGACGAACGACGAGGGCATACGTCAAATAGCATTGAGCTTTTCTTGAGTGAAACATGCTTCGCACTTCCATTTTTTGTATATGGGGCTTTGCCCACCGAACTATTATTGTGGGCATACTCTTGATTCGGGGTTTTATGAGGCTCGTCTAACTGACTTAAAATCGACAAATTTATGGTCCGTCGTTGCAAAAGTCAGGGGCGTTATTGGATTCCACAGCAAGGCTCTTTTGGATTTTCAACGAACTTTTTCCTGAATCTCTCGGTGTAAACCAGAGACAGTTATTCATGTAGGGGCTGTTTTGTCGATAGTATTCGCTGCACCAAAGTCATTACCTTTCGCTTGATCTGCATCCGGTTGTTTTCCAGTGCATTAGTAAATGGCACATTCCAAGCCTATTGGGATATAAATTTCGACAGGTCTTGTGACTTATTCTTGTAGTAAAAATCTCCCATGAAATGCAGTTTTTTCGGTAACACTTTTCGCACGCCAATTTTAGCAAGGAGTCAGTGGACTGCGACGGATGCCGGTAATTATCATTTGACTATATGCGCATTCAGCAAACCTGAGGGTAGCCTCAGTTGATCGCAAAACTGGGATACGTTTGGGGAGATCAAAAACTTTGTTATGTATCCAGTCAGTCTTCACCGTTGTGTTGGAAGTTACGCTTCTGGGATAATCTTCCGATTGCAACTAAATCTTGCAAGCTGCGTTGGTCTCAACATCCGGCCAGCTATTTCGGGTAACGAAGGCATTTGTTTGCATGAACGAAAGCCCAATTTCCTGTCATTCTCTCCTTAGTATGATAGCATAATGTCCCACCCTTATGACCCAGTGGCAATCCCCTTCTATGGTGCTGTCAGCTGACTTTCCAGAAATTATTCATCCCACTTGCCACTGGCAACTTCCCACTGGTGTGCTATCTAGGCTGGACAAATATGAGCTGCCGCCCGCTAGAGTTGCACTGTTTACGCCTGATTTCATAGCACTACCAAAAAACTATAGGTGTTGTAAGTATCTACCGTCTAAAGATCTTCAGCTAGGGAAGATGAGGATACTTGCTCTAATAATAGTTTTGACTATTTGAATACAGCAGTGCCCATGGTTCAGCAAACATTAGTCGGTCTTTTAATTTAGTTCAATAGCACCCTGTGAGTTCCGCATAAACACTATGTCCGCTGCGTGATACCACTTTACTAGCGACATTCTCGTAAAAACGTGCTCGCACAAACACTAATTTGGGTGCTGATTTTTTTACCGCATTATATCCTGTAGATCATGCCTGCTGAAAATCATGCCTCAAGATACACGAGACTTAAATGAATTACACGATAACTGAGTAACGAGTGAATATATGGGAATCGAACCAAAATTGGAGGTGGAAATAAATAAAGCATCATCTAGCTAGGTTGAAGACATTCGCTCATTTCTCCAAAAAATGGTTTAGCTCGATCACCACACCAAGATTACTGCAGAAGTCAGATAGGTCACGTGACGTCATCGCAGTTTTGTTCTCCGAACCGGGGCCCCCGTGGTACTAGTAGTATGTTATCGAATTTGCTTTCATTTCGCTCTTTCCTGGAGCCGAAATTATGGACGCACAGATTTTCGGGACACAGCCTGCTGAGATTCTGTGCTTCGATCTAAGTCAAAATAGCACACCGTCCTTGTGGACAGGTTAGGGCCCACATCTCTCTGCTTTCTACACGGGCCAGGGACCCGGCAGCAACTGCAGTGAGTCCTATGCGTGCTTACGTTCGGGACGAGCCAGAAGGTTGTCATCGCACAGGGGACGATGTTAACCATCACAGCATTTTGAAGGATATGATAACCAACCTACTGAGACTCTTCGAAAGGTCATGAAGCCAATGGGGGTCAAATTCAGTTTCACTAGACCGTCTACCGGTTTGAGGTTCCCGAACAGTCATCCGCCTAATGAGGTTTGCGCCTTTGCTAGTTCCGAGTAGTTAGAGTTTATCCACTAGTTTTCCGGCTAGGTTGTTTATGCGGGTCATCAGAAGGCGATGGCGGTGATCTTGGGAAAAGCGTGTAGAATAACCCTTGCTCCGGCCTTTCGTAACCGAGCAACAAAATTTGGCAGTAAACAAACGACCTAAAGATACACCCAAAGACACATCTTACTGCTTGGAATGGCTCACAACTTGAAGGTTTTTCTGGACTGTGCTATTAGTGTGTATGCCATTGTCCAGACAAGCCATACAGTGGGATGTGGCAGCTGTTCGCAGTGTATATGACCAAAGTTCGCAGTGTGAATAGTAATGTTTATTCCAAAATGGTGGGTGGCGCAAAATCAGGCCCTATTGCCAAAGGATAAGTACGTGATTTTTGATTGCTTTGCGACTCAACTATACGTCAACTATGCTCAACTATACGTCATTTGCTCAGCTGATCAAGTTGACTTTTTCCGAGGTAGTTGTAAACAATCTTAATGGTAAAAAGTGAGAGATTTATCGGCAACAAGCTGCTGCGATATACATGGCAAGATCCCACAGGCGCCCAAATCCTCGTCAGTTAGGCGTCAGTTGATGCAAGGTTGTTCGTATAAAACCTGGTCACCCAACGATTATGTTTGGTATAATAACGAGTGACAAAGTGGTGGTCTCCTTGTCTTCTTAGACAAAACTCTGCTGAACATCCAGTGCTTCGTGTACTGTTTTTATTACCAAATGCACCCAATTTACTAGCTCCTCCGGATCTTTTGGTTTTCGCTTGGTTTTCGTGTTTGCCTTCTGCAGATGTGTTTTAACCTATTTGTGAAGAAAAACAGCGCTGGTGATTTTCACCCTCTGCATGCACAACTTCTATCAAATTGACCCACGTATAGTCAGGTAGCCTTTCCTCAAATACCTTAAAGAACGAAGACCGTACAACGGCCACTACTCAACAAACATGTCTGAGGCCAATCCAGCAACTTGCTGAGCCAAAGCAGGGCAACGGTCGAACTGGATGCGCGCCAAAATTTACGAGGGGTCGTTTTTAAAATGAATTCTAACAAAAGAAAGCAGAACAAGCTTGTATAGACAGCTTTTGATACTCTTCTAAAGCACAGACTGTCTTGTGGGCCTGTTCACGCGAGTAGCATCTGGTCTTCTTGAAGCCTCGCCCCGTGTCCAACAGAAGATAGATTTCGTTGCGGAACTGGTGAAACTGCTTTGCAGTGTTCATTTACGATTGCGTGATAGTCGATAAATATTCCTGATCGTTCAAGAGGACGCGTGAGAATGTTGACAGTGCAAAGGCACCATTTAAGTGAGGTCAGGGGCCCGTGATCCATTTGCTCAAAAGAGACGCGCAACACTTCCCTGGAACTGTCATTCTAATGACATTTCATTAAGTCTTTCGGTTTATCATGATATGCTCGCTGAGAGCGCAGTGCTTTTAACTGCGAAACGTCTGCGATTAGAATGAAAGTGTTTGCGCCTAAGTGTAGCATTTTGTCGTGGTGTGCCCCAACCGAAAATCATCTCAATCCAGGTTCATATTTTTGCAGTTCACCTAATCCCATTGTCCACTGAATGGATCATGCCCCTAACGGAAACAGTATGGTGGAATAATTTCCTAGCATCACTGAGACCCTGGAATGCCTGGATGGGGCTTATGGTGCTCTGTGTCTTTTTTTACTTCCCTTGTAACGTTACGTATTTTGTCAATTGCATACCGTTTTCTGTCTGAATGCGAAAGCCTACAAAAACGCGCACATATACAGTTTCATGCAATGCAAACGTGACAATGTGCTCCTACTCTCTCTTCTGATTTCGCACGGGCCTACAGCGGTCGTTCGTGAGTCTCGTGCTAACACTGATATCAAAACATTTCAGACTACCTTCGGAAATTACTATATGTATGAACTGCTCAGAAGAAGACCCTTGAACAACCGCGATTGGATTATTGTTTAGCTGCTGATCTGGGCCAACGACGAACAATTTTAGAGAGAACAATTACTAGTGAGTCCGTTTCATCTGACCTCTGTTATTGTAAAATCAGTCTAGCGCTATTATTCTTGTTTCTTGGTCACACACTCTTGGTAAGTAAATTATTTGGTAGCCAAACCACTACAGGCTAAAAACCTTAGAATCGTGCTCTGAACTCACTTACCTGTCTCTTCCAGTTTACCGGGGACAAGCCGCAGCTTTTGAAATTTCAATTGCATTGTGCGAATACTGAGCGGATGGATCATCCTATCATGGCCCACCGCCATGGATCTTGGAACTAAGATACGTTGCCGAACCCCACCTTCGCAGAGTAGGGGTCGAAAGTTACTTTCATGGTTTTTGAAGCGCTCTGTCTTTTCATCCTAATACACGCCTGGTCCATAAAACTACCCCGAAACACTTTATCCGGATCTGAACTAACAGCCCTCGTCATGGTCTATTTCAATTAGGCAAAAAGGTTTGCAGATTATGCTGACAATGTGTATTTCGTCGAAGACGCGTTTGAGATCTTAACCAGTAGAAAATGTGGAACCATATTTGACTATAGATGCGTTCAACTTTATGAAACTTTTTCAGCTTTATCCAGTCACAACAGGAAAAAATCTATACCTCTGTCATTTTACCTCTGCACAAGGGCGGTGGCTCGTTATTTGCGAGTAATTACTCAGATCTTTTTGTTAGAAGTGGACAAAACGTGCTTAAATTGTTCGCTGAGGGGTTGCGAAAACTTCATTAGTTTGTAGCTTTGTCACCTGGAGGGCTTCACTCTGGATATCACTTCGGTTAATCCTCCTCACGAACCTACCGCACGTACCTATGACTGTCTTCAGATCTACCTAATTTACGATCTTTAACCCACCTTTCACAAAACCGAGTTACCTAATCAGTCTCGTAAGCCCATTTTCCAGAGATCGGTGAATCGCCTGATGCTGCGCCTTACCACAGTGGTTGTGCCTTTGTGAATCATCCTCGCGGTGTTGTCTCCCACAGTTCCGACGATCGCCAAACGATTCAACCACATATAACACCTATTCGCTGAACTTTTCTGTTTATTAAGAAGTGGATTAAGATGTCACTCATGTAAACATGCAATCATTTTTTGCCTTCGTAAAAGTATGCTGGTCTGTAATTCTATACAGAATTGCATGTTCCATCGTTCAGATCATGCATGCAAGGTGACGGGGGTTATGCGCTGCTATATCAATGCAACCGATGCACAGAGCATTCAACGTGTTGACCAGGTATTAACTAACGGGTTCATTGGAACCATTGGAGCTCTCATGGAATGCCCAGTGTCTTGCCAAGGTTGATCTAAATGTTTTCTGTAGGGTGTTTTCTTGAGCACGCACAAATAACTTTTAAGTGAATGACGTTACAAGAGGCATCATTTTGCAAGCAATTAAACGAAGGAGCCACGGGGCTCTTTAAAGCGGTAATGAGTTGGAAGTCATAGGCTTTCAGGAGCAAATAATTGGGACAGACTGAAACAAAACATAATCTGCTGTAGCTGACAAATTTCATATTTTGGCCATTGTATTCAAGGGTATCTTGTGTGCTTTTGCAAGCATGCAGTCTCTACATAAATCACGAAATCGATGCTCTATTTAGCAGGGAAAATACAAAAAGAGAACAGAAATATCGAACCCTGGAAAACGTCCGAGGAAGAAGATAAGGTTTCCCAAAATAAGGGTCGAAAGTACTATTAGCGGATAGATGGTGTTTGCCAATGTGACGGTCAAACTGTATCTTGGAGTGACGCGTAATACCAGAACATCCGGGTTGGCAAAACAAAGTCGGAGCTGGGTTTCTATACGGTACTATTAGGGTAAGAGAAATTCACAATTTGTACACACCTCGACAGTTGAAACGCATCCAAAACAAACAGTCAGCTTGGACTACA